TGCGCCATGTGGGTCACCTCCAAGGTGGGCAGAATCGAACTCATGCTGAAGTGGCTTTAGCTTCTTTAGCTGTGCTTTAACCCATTGCGCCACCAGGGAGAGCCCAGTTGTGGTTTTAACATGCAGCTTTCTAATGAGTAATAATGATGCCTTCCCATGTGGTTATCAGGCCTTGTTGAAATGTTTTGTTATATATTTTACCCAGGTAAGTATTTTTTTATTATTACTGTTGAACTAGTTCTTTGTTTATCCTCTATACAGATCCTTTATTTGTATAGATAAGAGCTTTACAAATTATTTTTCCCCAGTATGTTCCTTGGATTTTTATTTTCTTAGTTAAATTTTTTGAAGCACAGTTGGTTTTTTCTTTTTTCACTTTTAGTAAATTATAACTTATTATTGCAAGATTTATGGTACTGGTGACACATCTAAGACCTTTGGCTAAACCAAAGTCACAGAGCTTTTCTCAATGATTATTTATAGAAGTTTCATGTATTATATCTATTAAGTCTACAATACATGCTACATTGGTTTTTTTGTGTGTATGCTGTAAGGTAAGGGCATGAGTTAATATTTTTTTTCATATTAAGTCACCCCAACATTTATTTGTTTAGATGACTTCTTTCTTCCACTTAATTGTCTTGTGCTTTGTTAAAAAGCACTTGACCATAAATACATGTATGTGTCATTTACCTTATGGGCCTCTTTAGCTACTCCCATATTGTGTTGATACACTCTATAGCAAGTTTTGAAATTGGGTAGTGTGAATTCTCTAATTTTTTTCGTTTGCTTCATTATTTTGATTTTTATTTCTTTGCCTTTCCAGATGTGTCAGAATTAATCTGTCAGTATCTACAGAAGTTTTGTTTGGATTTTGATTGGAGTGGCTCTGAATATAATATATATATATATATAGATATATATATAGATATATATATATACACATGCACACAAACACTAGGGAGAACTGGCATCTTAACATTATTGAGTCTTCTAGTATATGAACATTGCCTATTTACCTGCTCTTGATTTCTCTTCTCAGAATTTTAGAGTTTTCAATATATACACACTGCATACATCTTATTAGATATACATATATATATGTCTTTAGTTTTACAGTGTGTATGTCAAGGTAGTTTTAAAAAGTGGTTTATATCTCATCTGTCATTATCATTACAAGTTTTGCTCAAACCCTGTTCATTGAATTCTCTCTCATGTTGTATTTGAATCTGGCCAGCTGTCTAATAATGTCTTAGCAAATAGTATAAGTAGCCTCTAAGATTTTTTCAATTATAGTTTCTCAGAGGTAAAAAGATGACATTTTATCATTTTGATTCAGTGACTGATCAGTCATTATTTAGTAAGACTGCCATTGTCAATCTGTTCACAATATTTATGATATAAAACACACAAACCTTTTCTGAAAGAATTAGGAAAGGTAAGCACTGAATGTCGCTGTTCCTCTTCTGAAGGTGTGGCAGCTGCCTTGGAGGTCTCAGAGAGCCCTGGCAGTATCCAGGTGGCCCGGGGTCAGACAGCAGTCCTGCCCTGCACTTTCACCACCAGCGCGGCCCTCCTTAACCTCAATGTCATTTGGATGGTCATTCCTCTCTCCAATGCTAACCAGCCTGAGCAGGTACTTCTGTTTCATCCTGTGCTACCTCTAAAATTTTGATCTTTTCAGAAGAGGGGTGGGAAAGCTTCTTGAGTATATATTTTATTTCTAGAATAAGAATTTACACTTCGGGTAAATGCCTACAGTGTTTTAAACCCTACTGCATTATCAGCCAACTGTCAGAAGAAGTTATCCTCTTTTTTTTTTTAAGATGTATTTATTTATGCATACATAAGTGGGTGCAGCCAAAAGTACACGTGTGGTGAGAGGATTCACCAGAGACAGAGTGGGGAGCAGAACAGACAGATGGACAAAATACACAGCTGAGGGGAGCAGTGGGCGAGCAGGAGAGGTCTGCCACACCATGTGGGTCACCTCCGAGGTAGGAATTGAATACGCACTGAAGCGGCCACTGCTTGGCTTAGCTCCGCATTTCGGTGCTCCAACCTGCTGCGCCACCAGGGAGGGACCAGTTACCTCTTTGTGTGTGTGTGTGTGTGTGTGTGTGTATGTGTTAATTGCCATTTTTCTACACCTTTATTGTTTACTGTATATTTATGTGATGTTGTGAACAATTAATTTGGTCTTTACTTGTTCTTTAAACAGGTACTTATAAAGTAGGTAATTGGCATCAATTATTGTGTTCTTTATGCCTGAATGCAGAGATGAGAAATAAGGTTGTTTTCTGTTGTGCTTTTTTTTTTTTAACCAGTTACCTCTTTTTAAAGGACTTTTTGTCAAAAGGAAATAACAAGACAGAAAAAACAAAGTATACTTTGACAGGAAAGGACACAGGTAGATGACATTAGCTAGTAGTATTTGATTTATTGGCTTATTTTACTAGTTTTAAAAGTAAATACAGTCAGGCTGGTCAGTCTTAAAGAAACCCAAATTAGGATATATACATGGAAATAAAACCTAGTAACCAATGGTCTGTGTCAATTGCAGGTAAAAGGCCCAAATTTTGTTATACCTACTACAGAAAATAATGCTCAGAAAATGAGTGAACTGTGGTGATGACTACACCTTTATTCCCAGAGATAATTTATCTTTGTTACCAGGTTTTTCTGCCTCAGTAAACTTATTACTACTTAAAAACACTTGATAAGTTAAATTTCCCGTTACAAACATTTCTACTCTTAGGAGTTGTTACTGACTTTTTATGACAGCACTAGATCTATGATCCATATATATCTTGGGTTCTAAATCCTTACATGCTGGTTAGAATAATATAGTTTCCTTACCTAGTGCTTCAGAATACAGAAAATTCTAATGTTTTGTGCAGTCTACTGTCTATCAGGTAATTAACTGTTATGTAGCTAGAGGGGATTCAGGGGCCAATTTCTTTGTTTTGCTTCTTTTTGCAGGTCATTCTCTATCAGGGTGGACAGATGTTTGATGGTTCCCCCCGTTTCCATGGAAGGGTCGGATTCACAGGCACCATGCCTGCCACCAATGTCTCTATCTTCATTAATAACACACAGCTCTCAGATACAGGCACCTACCAATGTTTGGTCAACAATCTTCCAGATAGAGGGGGCAGGAACATTGGTGTCACCGGTCTCACAGTTTTAGGTGAGTGTCAGGAAATACATTAGGTATCTTGACTCTACTTATGAGTCTCCTGTCAAGCATACACACTTCTTAACATTCTTCTACTCACTCCTTGCCTGTGTCCTTTTTCTGTCTTCTCCCATCCGGGTCTCATCTTGACTCTCCATGTTTCGTATACAGTTTTCCCATCCTTTCCTCCATTTCAGGTGACTTTCTAAAAGTTTACTTTTTAAATGATATTTTTCTGAAGGTGGAGAAAAGTAGTACAAGTTACTATCAAAAGTAGCCTCTTAATTTTTTCAGCTTCTGCCAGTTTGTTGATAGCAAGTTGAATTAAAAATGATATGTGAGCACTAAACAGAAGTTTGAGCACATGTGAGAATAAGCACTAGTCCCTCATGTCTGTGGCACTGAATAGGTCTACCACAGTCGCCACCTTCACCTGTGGCCTGGGCACAGTTTTAACACTGCTTCCTTTTTCTCTCAAAAGTATCCTTATTTAAAAAAAAAAAGTATCCTTATTTGAGTGATTAATTCTGAGACCAAATAGATATAACACCCTCTCCAAGGTTATGTAAATGATGGATAGCAATAAAGTTTAGCTTCTTTACATCTCTACTCAACCAGTATCCTCAGTAATTAAAAAAAAAAAATTTAGTAACATATGCATAACATAAAATCTACTATCTGAATCAACTTTATATTTATAGTTTGGTGGTTTTAAGTATATTCACATACATAATTGTGCAGCCAATCTTTAGAAATCTTTTTTCATCAATTCCATACCCCAAGCTCCATAATATCCCCCTGCCAGCTGCTGGAAACCACTATTCTAATTTCTGTCTTGTGACTCCTGTATAAACTTCATAGGTGTAGAATCATCTCTTATTTGACTTTTCCATGACTGACCTATTTTACGTAATTGTTCACAAGTTTCACCCTGTTAAAGCATGTGTCAGAAGTTCCTTCCTTTTTTAAGACTCTGTAGTACTTTACCATGAGGATGTACTATGTTCTGTTTGCCCATTCATTCATTTATGCACTGTTTTTCACCTTTCAGTTGATGTGAATAATGTTTCACCTTTTAGTAACTTTGTGAATTACTGAATGATGTCTATATTCAGTGATGCTTTTGAAGGCAATGTGGTAAGGTGAAGGATTTTGAGAATTCTTTAGCGGAAGCATAGCGAAAGCAAGACTTATACCTTTAAAATGTAGCCAGAAGAAGTCATTCCTCAACCAACTTGTCAGTTTTGGGAGAAATTAGACAATACCTTCTAACTACCTCCTCTTTTACGTAGTATTACTTGCCAACTAAAGTGGTAGGCCCTGTGCCTATATTCAAACCCTGAAAATAGTAATGTAAATATCCAGTGAGGACCATGGGGGTAGTTGGGTATGCATTCCAAAAACAGTAGTCGGGTATGTGTTCCAAAAACAGTGTTATGTGGAGTGTCAGTATACCAAGTATTGATGTTTCTTCCAACTTT